TAAACTTTCTGGACCACCTCAGACACGAGTGAATTACATGTGATGGCAATTCTAATGAATGAGACAGACTGGGAGAAAATTTTGACAGCATAAAAAGTGTATGAGCATCCTGAAGTGTGATTATAACTACAACTTATGTCTAACTTAGAAGTTTACAGCTGGTCAGAGCAAGATTAATGCAACTTTGAAGAAAACAAAACAAAACTATATTTAAAAAGACAACCAAAAAAAAAAGACATAAAGCCTTAAAACTGTCTGGCCAGACTAAGATAGAGGCTGAATGGTTGCACTGTGTGAATGACTGGCTCTCTGGATGAGAATTAAGGTGGGACAGATATGTGTGTGCACAAGAAACAGCATCTCTCTGGACAATGTTCAATGTGAAAAAGACATTATGTAGCATATAAACTATAAATCATAAATGATCTTGGTTTGTTGATTGGATGAATTCACTTCAGAAGGTTACGCTTTCCCCATGTTAGCACCTGCAGAAAAGTGGTCAATGGCTTTGCTAAGAATGTTTTATATTTGTTTGGTCTAATAATCCTACAGAAAATAAATCTAAGATTTCACTATTTGTCGATATTAAATGGAATAAATTTTGACCTATTAATAAAATTAGCACATCTCAAATTTTAAAAAATAAAATTGTTAATGTAAAAAAAAAATAATTTATTCTTCTAGATTTTAATGTTATTTTAAGTTCTGAAGCACCATCATGTTAATTTCCAAACGAGTTTTTTGTTGGGTAACAGTTTGATAATTACACAGCTAAATCAACCACAAAACAAGCAGATCACTGTGAAATTGATGTGGATACTTTCCATTGAAGTGTAGCTGATGGTAGAAGGGTGGAAGGGTGAGTAGATCAGTTTCCAGTGAAACCACAAAGCAGCCATGCATCCACGGTGCAATGCTAACGTAGCCATTTATCAGCCCAGTACGCCAAGCAAAGATAATAATCACCACAGGTCACCAATGTCATCACCAGACCACTTTCAAAAAATGGGCATGGCAACACACTAGTGAGTCAGCAGCTCCCCAATACCTAAAGATCTGTCTCCTCTTTTGAGAGCTAGAGCAGTAGCCCTCAGTGGAAAGTCTGTTGGGGTTAACATTAGGAGAAAATGCTCAGGTTACAAGTCTGAATAGGAGGACAGGAAATGGCTTAAAGAAAAGGAAAGGTAGGAGGTAGAGGTAGGCACAGTAAAAAAAAAAAAAAATACCCTAGAGAAGAAAGGGTAAAATGCACACAAGGCAGAAATTCAACTCATGAGAAGCCCACGCTGCTTCTTTGTCTCACTCTCAGCAAATTAGGCCCTTATCTATCAAGCTAAATGTTGAGACTAACTGCTGTGTGACCTAACTCATTAGTAAAAACAGCAAAATTACTAAAACTTAGCTTCACAGAATGTATGATAAACCTGCGTGTCATAATAAATAACGTAGTAGTTAATGTAAGTGAAAAATAAACATCTTTAAACAAGTTATTTCATAGATTCTCATTAAAGGAAATACTACAAAGACAAGTTTAGAGGAACCAATGTACAAGACTTGATTACCAATGTCTTATGATCCCCCTTCTCAACTGAGAACTAAATAAGCAGTTTTAATTATGAAAGAGGTGAAAACGACAGTTATATGAAACACACACAAAGCTATCCAAGGGAAATCACCAACTTACCTGTTGTCATTGATGTATCCATTTTGAGACGACTGCAAAAAAAAGGACACCTGCACATTATGAAATGCATAATTCTATTAGTGACACGTTCCCAGCATCATTTTGGCTTGTCAACATTTCAAAATTCAACAGTTTAGGCTACAGCGAGGATTTTCTACCTAACTGATGCAAATGCTGGCTTAGCACCAGGTTTTTCCATTTCTACAGCTGCCAGCAACAAAACATCTGTTGTATCACAACACTAAGTCCTGGCCGGTCTATAAGGAGAGAACCACTTTTTTCAGAAGATTTGAGGCAAACAATCAAATCAGATGTTGTGATATCATGGTTAAAACTCCTGAGTCAGTCTGGCTTCTAATCTGCCCAACAAACACTATTTAGAGCTGCATATGTAAATGTGGGTAACACATCCACTCAGAAAAATGTTGATTACAGAGATCGCTTGGCTGGGGTTGTTCACAAATGCTGTCAAAATGGTGTATTAACTGAGCCTGAATTAGCACTGGAACAGTTTTGGTGGAAAAGCCTTAAGAAAACCCAGCAGGAGTTTCCTCCAAACCTAAGATTCAAGAACCCCTTATAGGATAGAACTAATAATTTGTTAGCTCTAGATGATTACGGTAAAATAGAAAAAGGCACAATAACTCGTTTTCCACTGTATAAAAAAAGAATTACTTTAATAATAAGGCCTTCAATGCCCTTTTGAGACATTCTTACATAAGCCCTTTAAGTTTAGACAAAATACATAATGTACTTTTTCTACTCTTTTTTTTTTTAACTGTCTGAAAGTCTCTTAAGAACAGCATGTTCTACAAAAGGTTGCACAACTTTCTTTCCCTGACGTTCTGAAAGTGAAGCAATTTCAGATTGTCCTAATGTAATTATCAACTTATAACTGAAAAGCAATTACAGTGTACTTTCCTTTACATAGCATATGTTAGTTCAACATATTTTTTGTATAACAATTTTTTTCCTGATTTCCTGACTAGTCTAAAACTTACCACAGTTTCGTAGTTTATATAATTAAAATACCCAAGACATCTAAAGCTTGTCCAAATAATTGCTCAATAATTAGAAAACACTCAGAAATCTTCTAAGCAAATGTTGCAAACATGATATAACATGAAAGAAAGAAAAAGGAATGTAGAAAATAAATACTTACTTCTCGGGCAAAGATCCTGTCTCGTACCCGCTGATATTCTTCTTCTCGCTCTTCAATAGATTTGCTACGCCTCCCGTCCTGCAGTGGCACACGGATCTAAAATTTGCAAAGACAAAATGTATTATAACTTAAAATGGTAAAGAAAGTGATAATATATCCCATGTTTGTTCACCTCGCTAAACATGTCAAAAAAAAAAAACCGGGAAAATGCTGAAAACAATTTGGAAGGTCAAATTATAGGTCCAATATTCAAATGAAGAATCTATCTCTTCTATGCAAACAGGCCTAAATAAAATTATTTCAGCTTAAAGAAAAATGCTGGACCAAATTAAATAAAGCACTAAGAAAAAGTACCAAATCTTACAAAGGTGTATGAGTAGTTTTAAACAAATGGAAAATAGTGCAGTTGTTACTTTGAAAGTGGACAAAGTATAGAACATGCTGAGATTTCATAACTTGCCAGCAGGGCAATTTGAAACAAATGGCCTGCCCTGTCATTTAGCTGTAGTCGTGACTCCTAAAGAGGAGAAAGTTTAGTCGTTTGACAGCAAAGTGGACAAACTGCAAACTCCTCGTCTGCATTGCAAAAACTACTGTTCCAGAAAGTAACAGTGCTGACAAATATGCAAGTTTTCTCTTTTTCAATTCTAAGACTATATGTATCAGGATTTAAAAGAAAGAAATTAAACGTGCAGATAGAAGATTAAGCACTTTGTTTTTGCCTCGCTTTGGTTTACTTGACACCTTTTGTGACTTACTGACCACTAACAAATGTATGTCGGTATAAAAACAGTATGGTGATTTAAATGGATTTGGTAATGGCAACCAACCAACCTGATTATCATCTTTGTCCATACTAGCATCATCTCTTTTAAGGATGAACTTCTTCTGAAAGTCCATGTTGCGTTCATCCTTGATGTGTTCAGAAAACCGTTGCTCTGGGCTGTTGGATAAAATATTATGAACAGTTATTCTTTAAAGGATGCAAAAAGACAGTGAACCACATTTAAGAGAAGGCAAAAGGCAAGGAACTAAGGAAAAATGTTAAAAAGCTTTTTCTTGTAGAGTTGACCTTTGCCTATTCATCTATTCATGGTTCATATATTTTGTGAGTCCAAGTTACTCACCAAAAATCTGCCTAATCACAGATTTTTCCACGGCACATATCTACTACGTTCCATCATCTCCAAACTAAAATCAAAAGTATTTTGTATGCCAAACAAGATAGCAAATGAACTTCATAACATGTCACTAAACAAAACTTCAAAACATTTATAAGGTTACAGTACTAAATTGTGACACACTCACATGCGAGTGTTTCCAGTCTTGTTGATGATGACAGCCTTTCCTGTCTGATCTACGTTGTGATCCATGCCAAAGTAGGCGGCCACACGATGCAACAGCATTCGATGATACGAAGTCATCTGAGGAAATTTCTTATACTGGTTACTGCAAGTGAAAAAAAGCATAAGAATAAGTTAGTAATTGTTACATGACCTTTAAGGTATTTGCTCTTAAGTTTAATTCTTTCTTGATGACTGTTGAAAAAGCATAAAAAGAGAAGCAAGAAGTTGGGACTTGAAATTAGAGGTGAAGCACAGTAGGTATGAATGTAACTGTGATATTATTGCTGAATACTGAGGTGGCTACATCAGTAGCAAATAATGCCCATTTTCCTCCCTCAATGCTTTCTTTTCCAAAACAACATAATTTCAATCACTCTCTGTGAGCTGTAGCTTCTCAGTCATTAAAAATGGGTATCAAATGGTAAATAACTCAGCCAAACCGTCTTTGTTGGTATGCTTAGTGTGAATGTATGGCACTCAAAATAACAGCCCATTAAATTGTGCCATCTAGGCATCACTTTCAAATGTGATAGTGGACACATTAGGATTGTGATGATGGCCAGGATTCTCTACTGAGTAGCTCTAAAATTTAGAGCTATTTAGAGTCTAAATGTAACAGTTATTTCTGGCACATAATGGGGATCCTGTAGACAAATGGGAAACTCACTCGGAAGAAAAGATTAATGCACTAATGTAACAATCTAGGAAAAATAATATGATCTTTAAGTGTAAAAATAAATTCAGTGTAATGAAAGACAGATTTACTTGTTGTCATTAATGAACTCCAGGATATCTTGTTCTAGTTTAAGCAGCATCATTCGATCCCTGGGGGGTCAAAGGGAGAAAACAAATTAGAGAATTCAGGGGGACTACTGAGTCCTCCATTTAAAATATAGTAAATTCGTCACTTAAGTTTGAGAAATCAATAAAAACAAATCATTTTGATGGTAGTTAAGAAAAAAATACCAGAAGTTTCTCTACATGCAAATTGAAGGGATTAATCTAACCACTTTATAAGAACTCTAAAGATCAACTTAAGCAAGAAAAAAAATGCAGAAAAACATGCAATGTGATAATAGTATGAACATTTGCACACAACAATAGCAATTACGATTACCCAATTAGCAACAATATAATGATTTTACTACTTTGGTAAGTCTATTTTGGTAAGTCTTTAAGCTGTACAAGCTCCACAGCAAAAAAAAAAAAGTGTATAAAAATATTATCATCAAATGTATTGTTATCCATGATGGAAACAGATGTGGGATTCTGTGATTACTCTAAATACATTTTGCGTGAATATTTACAAAGTGCATTAACAAATAAATTGCATTTATTTTTTATGCCTAAAGAAACAAAATTGCTTTACATCACTAATCTGTTTGGATTATTTACTATGTTCATTATAACCTTATAAGTCTTTGGTTGTACTCATACCTGGGATTGTTTTTCAGTGTATTGACCAAAAACTCATGAACGTCAATGCCTGTGGAGTCGGTGTATTCCTGACTGGAATCTATTGGAGGAAAAAAAAAAGAATGAATAAAAATAATTTCACTAAAAACAAACAACCAAGAAACAAAAAATAAATAAATAAATAAATAAAACAAGATACATTGTGAACATATGCCATATGAAGATGTCTCAAGTGGCTGAAGATGAATAGACATGTTTCATGCTTTGGAAAATAGTCAGATATGTGCTTGCTGTGTTCAGAATATACAGAGACAAACACCCTCTAGAGGGCAACATTACTTCTAAACCACACTGCACAGACACACAGGTAAGCCATTTCATCTCTGCTCCTCTCCATATGACACTGAGGAGTCTTGCAGAGAAAGAATGCGGTGTACTATAATTGTTTTATTTGTACTTTGAAACTGTTTCAAAAGTATCTCTTAGCACTGATGAGAGACATTCACATTACAAAATATCCTACAATCTAAAGAAGCACAATGATGTCAGTCTGGTACAAACAACGACCACCATCAAACCTTGTCTTACCACGTGACAGCATCTTTCGAGGAGTCTTGTCCTTCTTCTCCTTTTCTTCATTTTCATACTCGTCCTTTGAAGACTTTTCTTCCTCTTTGTCTGATGGGCAGCTGATGTGAAGCTGGATGATTTCCTTTAGACACCAACAAAAAAAGTGCCTTTTAATATTTGTAATGAATAAAAAAAGAAAGCTCAGGGATGAGATAAGAGTTAAAGACTGTGGTAACTGGTTCTGTGGGGAAAAAAAAAAAAAAGTGGTACCGATTCTGGGGGTCCATCGTTGGGGAAAGGACCAGAGGACTCCTCACATACTGCCAGACTCCGTACTAATTTCATTTTGGCATTAGACTGAAACAAACAAGATGAATTTGAGAAGAAATTTGATCAAATATGATAATACAAAAAACATCCAGATTGAGATTTGATTTTTTTTTTCTTTTTGCATTTTTCTGTCAAATATTTGACATGTTTGATGTTTACAATGAGAAGAATAAAATAAACTTTCAAATACAGCACAACAATTGCCATGTGTGGAAATCTAGAGGCTAGTTGTAATAAGATAGTTGCCTTTGTTGCCTAGTTTTTTCCATTTCTGCTTCCAAAGAACCCAATATATATTCCAAAGCATCATAATGCAAAAACCTGCCATAAGCCTACAAAAGGGCAAATTAACTCCCATAAAACATGAAAATGGAAAAGAAAGATAAAAAGAACAGTTTAATATATAAACTGATGAGAAAGTCACTGAACTATGTAGTCAGACTATAAACTGAATAGACGGTTAACCCCGCTCCAAGATGATGTTTCCACAATAGCCATTTAATAATAATTTAATAGCATGTATACACTTATCTAGTAAGCAAATTTAGTTAACTGGAATTAGTTTAAAAGAAAAGCGCCTAAGAAAGATGTATTAAACCAATTCCATCTGTTTTAAGAAATTATCATTCTAGTCTCAAAAGAAATTGGCTTGCTCTGCTATTTTTTTTCTGATTATATGAAACATTCAGTTAGTTCAACAGGTAAAGTGCAGTTCCAAAGCCTTACTAAGGTCAGTAGCACATTTACTGTTAACCTTCTTATCAGATTTAGGATTTTAAGCCAATGATATAATGCAGACAGTTGACTGTAGGTCAGTGGATTACAAAGCCGGAAGGATGAAAAGATATTCCACGCAGCAAATGAGCAAAAAGTCATTTCAAGCACCAGGATTATAAAGTAATATCAATTATGCTGAAATTCACTTACCTTGGCCCTTTTCCTGCCATGGCTGTGGTTAGTAGCCCGCTTCTGCTATTAAAGCAAAAGAAAAGTAATACTTTAATATTAGGGTGCAATTCAAATATCCATAACAATAATGGATTAGAATTAGAAGCTATAAAAGTCAAAGATTAAAGGACATTCTAGTTGCAGCATAAATATTAAGTGACATGACAAACATTTCTGTTTACTTAGTGCCTATGTATTGTTAAAGCACAAAAATGACAAAGATCTCTATTCAAAAACTGATTTAAAGTGGAGATCTTCCTGTCTCAGATCTCCATGCTGCTGTAGAGCTCATCACACTGTGCAGATCAGGTGCAACTTTAAAGCCGAGAAACCCGCTGAGAAACCAAGTGAATTTATTCATCGAGTGAGATACAGATAGGACTTCTCATTGTCACATCCTCTTACCTGTGCATCCTGTGGAGAGTTATCATCTGGCTCTGGTCCCTCTCCTGTCCCATCCTTGGTGCTCTGTGGTTGAGGAGAGCTTTTACCTCGACTGCAGGGCTCGATTTGTAGCCCACTCTCTCCCTCCTGCTGGATGTCTGTTGTCAGGCTCAGTGACATCTTCTTAGGGGAGGGGAGAGGGTGGGAGTGGGGAGGGGACTGGTGGAGAACCCAGTAGTGGCTATGAGAGTAAAAGAAATTTTTCAGAAGAGATTTAGTTGTTTTTTTTTTTTGTTTGTTTTTTTCTTTGTTGTTTTTTTTTTACAATTGAGCACAAAGTTTTATGCTGTTCCTTGTCCTTTGAAGTAGCTACCTGTTGGAGGTACCAGGTCTATGCTGAACTTTTTACAGTGAGTGTGGGTAAGAACCACACACAGGGAGATGAAGGGAATCCACTAAGGTCGTGTACTAGGCTGGGCAGCAGCAGGGGGTAAAGTGAATTCCATAGCAAGCCTTGGGTCTTGGGGTAAAGGCTGTCAGGGAAACAAAAGCAACAAAAAATGTAATAAACTATATGAAAGGTACAACTTAGACAGCAAAATGGTTTTAAATGCAAAATAATGTTTGGAGATGCACAGAGAAATATTCCTGATTTACAGCTTCACGATACCAGAAAAGGAGAAAGGAGTATAATCCAGTGCTTTATTTTATTCTTTATGGTTTTCAACCTCTGCGTCATGGAAAATTATGGTTTTGGAAATTTCAGAGCTTCAGTAAGCACCAGGCCCTCTCCTCTTCTAGAATTTACACAGAGGCTATTTGTGTAATCCTAGCCTTGCTAAGAAAAAAGAAAAAAATACTCAATTTACAATCTCAACTCAATAGTAATTTCATCTCCGTTTTAAAGTGACAGCAAATTCCTATTTGACAGCAGCAGTGTCATGACATCATTCCCCCTCCTATTATAATAAAATATTTGAAATGTTTTCTTTGTGTATATTTTTATAAAAATAAAGCAGAATCAGTTAAAATTACTTTATGCAAGTCAAAGATTCAGAAAACAGGAATCGGCATCAAAGTTCTTCTCATTGCTTCTCTAAATATTGTTTCCTCCACTTTTACATATTCAGAATAAACATTTCTTTTGAAAGGGATTCATTACCTTTATGGCAACAAATACAACTTATGCATTCTAACAATCTAGTTCATTCATTAAGTCATCCTGCAAACAATGCATTAGACACCAGAAAGGTGCTATTTTCTTATGATACTATGTTTCAAACAATTTAGAAATATATTTAAGCAATTTCTAGATAAAATTGTGCTACACTGAAGACCGGCTATGATAATGAAAAATTAAACACTCCAGGTGTCAACGTGTTTGAGAAAAAATATATATATATTTGGAACTAAACAGTCATCTAAAGCTTTACCACAATATTTTATTGTGTTTTACAAAAGACACCAACAAAAATAAGTATTGTGTTTTCCAATATTGTTCAAAAAAATCAAATGAGATCATTTGTTGTTTTAACAATATCACATTTCTTTAGTGAAATGTTGAATGAGCTATAAACAAATCGCAACCAAATAACATTGTACAGTATTACTTTTCACTAAGGCCGAAAAGTGTTAACATATTTTGTGAAGCTCAACTGAGATTTTTGGTTTATCAAACAATTTTGACATTTAAGGGCCCCTTTTAGCAAACTATTAAAACACAAAGGAAACTTCTAAACGGTAATTGTCTCAAAACAGAAAAAAACATTTGCTGCAAAAGACATTTAGTGAGGAAATGTCAACAACAATACATAATGAAAAACACATGAAATGAAATATATTTACAGCAGTCAGATGAATTGAAGAGGCAGCACTCTGCCAGGCCGAGTGTGAGGTGGAGGGGGGACACCAACAGGCCAGTCACCACCTTTAGAGGTCGTCTAGGGCCTCTCGTCTCTGCCTTCGGCTTACTGCAGTAGCATGGTCTTGCCTACAGTCTGGAGCCCTGGGCACCATGAACAGAAGAGGAAGACACGAATGACGTCATCTTTCACACACTGCGTGACTCATCGCTGCTGCTGCTGCTGCTGCTGCTGCTGCTGCTGCTGCTATTTCTGGCAGGGAGGAGGACAGAGCAGTTGAGAGCTAAGAGGTTACTGGGAATGGGCTTTAAAATCAGCACAAACGCTCACTGTTCAGTGTTTGACTTTTACAGCCTGGAAGACATGTTTTTAGAATGCTAAAATCTATCTGAGCATGAGCATTTGAAAGCTGTGCTTGCAATTCTGAAAATTCACATCGCAAAGAATTGAGCAAGCACCAAAGGGACAAAAAATAAAAAATAAAAAAATCACAGATTACCTAAGATTCCAGTTCCACCTATTACAGCTGCTCTCCATTAATGGTAATAATTAGGGAAGTATAAAAAAAAATTGGGAATTTAGAGAATTTAAAGAATAGCTTAAACAAGTCAAAGTTTTATTCTGGGTTTACAAAGAAATTAAGGATGCAAAAACTGTGTCATTGCTGTCATTTCAGATCCATGCAAACACAAATATTTCTAAATTACCAGACTTTGTTACATTCCACACCTTCAACTCCAATTACAAATTGTACATTGTAGGTCATCATCAACAAAAACATATCTTACAGCAGTAACTATGACGATTCTGGCTAAAACTAACATTTTAGATTTTATATTTAATATAAAAATAAAAATGCAATTTGGAAGACAAACTACTGAACTATAGTGCTCATTAAAAACACATTTACTGATCATCAGTTTTACAAGTCGGTAGATTCCAGGTAGGGGGTTCAGAATTCCAGGAGGCACAAATTTAGGCATATGTTTAATGGATGACATGTGTAAACAAAGCAAGGAAACAATACATTTACCAAGATCTCTGTATTGTTTGGTATGAGGAAACCGATGAGGCAGGGATTTCCAATGTGGGAAAGACCAAGGTGATGCAGCAGCAAAGTCGTCATTATCAACAGCATCAGCAGCAACACTAGATCATTGACAACGACACCCACATTCCCCAACCTCACTTTGCTTGCAGAAATCTACCACAGCAGCACAAAAAACAGCCACACTGTAATGTAGATCTGACTCAGTCATTCCAAAAATAGTTCTCTGTGTGTTCTGGGAGAAACAGAGGGAAGGCTTCTGAACTACCAAGCAGCGACAATTATTCATTTCAAATGTCAGTACTTGCTTAATAACAGAGAGGAAGCAGGAAAAAAATTGCAGCTCAAAACTACTAATGGGATGCTTATGAATAAACCAGCTTCTCCTCCCAGTCCTCTTATGTTTACACAGTTCTGTCATCAACACTCCATAGCTTCTTTCAACACAGACATGATGCTGCCCACTGGGTTGCCAAGGAGACGATAACGTCATTCTTAACTGCTGCCATTTGATTTGAGTGAGTAAAGTGGGGATGAACGAAAGAGTGATAATAAACAACACTGAATGCAGAGGACAGTCACTATCGCTAATACAAAGACAAACACTGACGACAGTTACACCATTTAATCCAGGTTCTTTTAACTTGAGGTCATTTTACATTGCCTGGGTATCTGGTGAGCTAGATATCCAGGCAATATCAAAATAGCAAATAGCAAAACTTCTAATGGGTGCAGACAACAGATTAAAGTATCTCGATACAGTACCAACATACATTTTCAGTAGCCTTTCCAACCTATGGAAAAATATAAATCATCTGTTTAAAGCGCCATCCTATGGGTCAGTCACTTGGCACCAAACAGCAAACATCTGGACTTCATTTAGCTGCAATGATAAATTGTTTAATCCTCATTCAATCTCACTCAAATGATCTTCTGTATATCGCTAACTAATTGTTATATTGTTAACCATCTATGGCCTTGAATTATTGGAATGCAAAACTTGGGTTCTAATGCATTTCTTACAGTGTGTGATGTGTAGAGAGTTAAAGAAAGCATGCAGTGCAGAAATGTATGTTTCATGTTCACATGAAACATTCAGTGAAACAAGAGTTCTCTAATTGAGAAACACAAACCAACATTTTCACAACTGCCCAATGCATCCCTTAAAATTTAGAAAAGTCAGTGTTAAAAGGATAAGGATACTTCTAGTTAATAAAGATATATGATAACTAATGCTAAATCTCCAGTGGTTTCAAAGAATAAGACATCACAGGTAATGTGTATCTATTTATGACTGGCTGACATAGTCAATATATTTGATGCACAGCAATTTATGCAGCATGCAATGTCTAAAATGATATCGTAAGTTGTGATATGCATCCATTAAAGAAAATAAGAGTTCAAAAGTAATAAAGCAGAGTAATGTGCAGTTTATATTAATAAGTAGGTCAATCCAAAAGCTTCTAGACATTAAGTAAAAAGTCAGTTTAAGTTTCATGTGATATGTAAACGCTTCCCAGGTGCACACATGGGGTAAAGCATTCGCACATAAAATCTGCCTTTGGAAAAGTTATTTTTCTAACATATTTATATTTTAGAAAAATATTTGTATTTCTTTTTCAATTAAAGGTTTGCTTTTTTGGCCTATAGATTGCTAAATTCTACAAATGTATGCTAAAGGTTATATCTTTGGGATTAACAATTATTTTTAATGATCATCATGATACAGTTTTATGATAAAATTACTAATTAATCTATATGCAACAACTGCTGCATCGAATAAGCAGTTTGCTTCTTGCTGCCTTATGACGGGTAAACAGATGATACACGCTGTGGTCAAGTTTCCTACTCTGCCTCTTTGCATCAAGTTACCACTATAAAATCACATCAGCCCCTGAGCTGAAATTTGGTAAAAGCCAGAAAGAGTAATGACAATGGTCAACACTGGGGTGGTAAGCAGCCACACTGAATCTGATAGTGGGCTAAGCAAAATAAAGTATGTCACAAGGTTTCTTGTCAAGTTCAACTGTCAAACTAGAACAACATCTCAAAAGTTTACACTTGCAGAAATAAAAGGGAAAGTCCCTTCTCCACAGCTGCTGAGAAGTGTGGCGAGGTCATTTTATATAGTCCTAAAACCCAAACATACATTTCTATCCAAGACATTTTAATTCCTTCTCTAAACAACTTTAAGACTGTAAAACAACATAAGAATAAACTTACATAGTACTCCAAGAAAACAAATACCACATTGTTTTTTTGTTTTTTTCTGGCCATATGCCTGATTAGCATTTTTTAATTAAGAGACACATTGTAAATGAAGACTATTATTTATACTTACGGGCAGCACTTGATACTCAGCTCAAGTCATTTAATTCACCCAACTACCTAAAAATGTCTGCAATGAAGAATCATGCACAGTAAAAATGCCTCTGTTTTTCGTGGAAACTGAATGAGAGATGAATGAAATGGTGAATGGAGGCGCAAAGAAGGAGGGAGCATGCACGTACAAACCCACAGAAGGAAGTGGGAGACGCACACAGGCAACTCGACCCAATTCAGCTCGTCTGTATTCAGCTGCGCACCTCGCCCATTTGACGTCAGAGAGAACTCATTTCACTCAAGGCAGTAAGGTTATGTCTTCACCGATTGGAGGCTGAACTGTGTGTGTGGGGGTGTTTGTGTGTGTGGGAGGGTTAGGGGGTGACGGGAGAGTTTGTGCAAGCTCAGTGCCTCCACATATCATATATCAGCAGCCCTCACAGTGTTTGCGCACCAGTGCTTGTCTGTGTCAGAGAGGATTCCCCTTTGCGTTGGTTGCAGTTTCACACAGGGCGGGGAGCAGGGGGCTGGCAGAGAACGAGGGACTGTAAAGGAAAAACCCATGGAGAATTGTAATTCAACAACGTTTCTGCTTCCCTTACATAAGATTTAGCTAGATGCGACAGTATTGACACCGAGATACCCGTTTTTATCAATGAAAGTTTCAAAAAGCTAGTGCATCAATGGATGACTGAAAGCGAGAGTAGGTTAAAGAACACCAGCAACAAACACACACAGACAGATGAGGGAATCACGAACTGTCAAACGCAGAGGAAGAAAGGGTTTCTCCTCTTTAATCTGTCTCTTTACTTCTACTTGCCACTCAATCTTCTTTTTTTCCTCTTGGTTATGAGGATACCCCCATCCTTATACGCTGAACTCGAACATCAATATCTTACTTGTTAAACCCGCCACTAAAAGTTACCTTTCTCTCCCTCTTTCGTCATCTCTTGAAGTATTTTCTTAAATTGTCGGGTTTGCTGCTGACGCCATCCTCCTCCACTCAGCCAACCCACTCAGTCCTGTGGGACGAGCTATGAGTCATTCTCTCCTTCTTTCCCCTCCCTCCCTAGTTACCTACCAGCCTACCTTTCTACTGCACATCTCTTCTGTTTCTCCTAATAGCTATAAAGTACATACACTGATATGCTTCGTGTTCTGTGAGAAAGAGAGGACACAAGGATTTGTGCAGATAAATTAGACAGATGAGTAAAGTGCAAAGCTAAGTAGAGATGTATTTGTTGGCCATAAAATTGACAATCCTGTCCTCATGATACTCTCCATAAGGAGTGCATTCAAGAGGACGACGAGGGGATCCTGAAATGCATTTTTGACGGAGATGGGAGAGAAAGGTAGAGCATGATGGAAGGAAATGAGTGTTTGTGAACAAAAATCAAAACTTTAAAAATCTCACAAAGAAAAACACATAAAATTCTTGAGAATGCATAGCTGCATTATTTATCTAATTGTTATTCATATTTTAATGTTTGCAATTCCACAACCACTGGGACAGTGTGGATGCATGGTTTTGTCAACTTTTACACTTCAAGTGAAATGCATTTATTTTGCTGTCAATCTGATGAGCAGAATGGTCTGAGACCGCCCTAGATGGCCAAACCTGAGATTTTGGTGGCTGAAATGCTTGAGCTCAATGAAAGCGGTAGAGATAGATCATGAGATGATAACAGAGCATAAAGAGAGGGAAATGAGGGCTTATTGCAACCAATATCTTCACTGGAATAATAGACGACAATATTGCAACTGAATGATTTC